AGGCGGCGATGGGGGTTAAAAATGTGCGATTTGGAGGCGATGCGAGGGTTTTTCTATGGGTGGATCGGTTATGTTTTTTTCTTTTTCTCCCTGTTGGTTTGCGTGTTTGTTTGTTTTCTCCTGGTGAGCTGAAAATATATATATATATATATAAAAGAGGATTCCAGTCAAGGAAGGAACTACTTAGCCTGAATACTAATACTAATACTACTAATAAGAAGAAGAGAGAGAGAAAATAGACTCATCCAGCTATCAAGCCCTAGGGGATGGCCACATTAAAGGAAACGCTACGGGATATCAAGCAGGAACTGCTGCTAAAAGATGACGAGGAGACCTTCGCCAAGATGGATAACCGGGATATTCTGCTGCGTATCGCGATCACCGCCATACGACGTTTAGAATCCGCCATCACTTGCGATAAGGAGGACCCCACTCTAACGCACACTCATACCACGAATCACGAGGAGGAGGCGGCCTATGAGGAATACCGCTCGATCGCGCGAAGCGCGCGGAAGTCGCTCCAACGCCTCGCGGCCCACCAGAACAAGAAGCTCGACGGAAGAGACCTCGATTCCGCCAGCGTGGTGAACCCCAAGACCAAAAAAGTGCGAAAAGAAGAAAAAGAAAAGGACGAGAAGGACTACCCGCCGGACGGGGCCGGGAAAAAGGACGAGGACAAGGAAAAACTCCCGCGCATCGCGCTCGATATGGGGCAGTACGCCGCGACGAATGCCTTTGAGGGGAATCTCGCCAAGCAGTCCAAGTTCAGCCGGCTGATGGGGGGCGCGAAACGGCACCCCACCGATGAGGCCACGGGCCATGCGAACCCCCACCCGAGCCCGATGAGCGGCGTTCTCCACCCCACCCAGGCCGCGGGCGCGAGCGCGATGAATCGAATGTTGAACGATTTAGAAGCCCAGTTCGACGTGTCCGTTCACCATAAGGGGAAACGAGGACTGGGCGCGTGAAGCCGGCCTCCCTGGGATGAGGGAAAAACCACCCACCCACCCACACGACCCCAACGGGATCTTTTTACATAGTTTACATGTATAAACGTTAACCATTCAACCTTTAACGGGTCTCAATCTAAGCATGAATAATAATCTTAATACTAATACGACTACTAAGGAAGGGAAAAAAAAGTTTAACCGCTGGAAGGGGAAACGGTATTTCGTCTTGGCTTTTCTCATCTCTATTGTGTAATATTAACGCATATTTACCCCCTCAAGTTAATACGAATAATAAAATGGGGGAAAAAAAAGGCCAAACCCAACAACGTCTGATGGTGAAACCACACCTACTATGCGCTAAATGAATGCTTCGTTTTCTCTTCTTTTCCTTTTAAATTGGCGACGACTTGGAAAATAAATTTAAAAAAAGTTCCATTGTTTTCACCTTCTCAATCGCTCTTTCTTTTTATGGGTAGCCCTACCACGCCCGTCAGAGATCGATCGCTACAAACAGTTGTTTC